TGATTCTGTGAGAATTATTTTTTTTTTTTTTACCAGTACTGGAGTTTATCTTTAAACTTCAAACTTAATGATAGTGTGTATCACCATAGGAAGACAATCTGATTAGATTTTGGAGCACGTAGGTCAAAGGTCAAGGGTCACAGAGGTCAATTTATGAAATTCCATACATTGAGATTGTTATCATGATATCTCAAGAACCACTGGAGATTTAACTCCAAACTTGTTTAAATTGCTCTATGGCGGAGGCATCATTTTCGACTGCGCGCAGTCAAAATTCCATCTAGTTTATATTTTGCCAACAGAGGTAGCGGAATGATGAAAACAGATGAGGCCGCGAACTATATCTTTGATGGCATCTTGAGGCAAAAACGCTATATCTACTTCCCAAGGATATTTACATTAGCAGCAACAGTCAAAGAGTAAGTATGGCTTCATGTTATTAGAGTTATGGTTCTAGGGGGTGTTTCATGAAGATCCTAAGTTGAACTTATCTCTAAGTTGGACTTAACAATTATGGAAAGCCTTTAGCATCTTTGAAAATATTTTGTAAAAGTTATTTTGAAAAGCATAAAATGTTGATTCAGAATATCTTCTATTATCAAGGAGATTTTCTGTTCTTGATTTGCGGAATTTATGAAAAGTCTAAAATAGTTGAATTTTTCATTTTGAATATATTTTTTCTTAGTGCTACAAATGGCTCTCCATAATGTTTAAGTCCAACTTAGTGTGTGTGTGTGTTGGGTTTTTCCAGACGTGTATCAATCAGATATGATTATTTACGTCTTGGGACCGACCTTTAAACGTCACCATCCGAAGGACGTGACTCAGTTTCGAACCTACGTCCTCGGCTGAATCAGTTTGTAACTTCCACTTTTAGTTGGATTACAGGCGCACTAGGCACCTAGTTTAGTGTCAAGTTCGACTTAAAGTCTTTTTTTTCCTTCATCCTTGACAGCTGGTTATTTGATAGAGCTACCAATTTGGACTACAGAGTAATAGGGAGAGAGAGGGAGGGAGGGAGGGAGGGAGAGAGAGAGAGAGAGAGAGAGAGAGAGAGAGAGAGAGAGAGAGATAAAGAAAGAGAGAGGGAGAGAGAGATAGGAACAGGAGAACATGACACTAATATTAACATTTTCAACAATAAACATAAGATAGGATACAAATTTAAAGAGCAGAGTATGAAGTCCATGTGTAGTATATTGAGAGTGAGTAATAACAAATTCTATTCAACTTCTGTTCAATTGTCTTATTCATTTCAAATAGAAAAAAAATACATCATAATTTAACAAAAGAAATGATATACATGAATGCCTTAGACTTGGAAAGAATAAAAAGAAATGAAAATGCGAGAACTTACAGAGAAGGTCGAGTTCTGGGAAGAGGTGAAAAACAATTTGTGAGTGTTATCATTGTATTATGCAAGTGTGGAAGAACATCAGATAAAAAATATTCCCTGAAAAGCATGGCACTTCAAATGCCTTAATATTCTAAATATGGCATGTATCATCATACAAATTGGGACAGATTTTTATGCCACATGTTCGTGTAGCCCCATATACCTCTTTCTGTGTACAGCTTGCTTGTAACTTTACCAAGACTGGGCAAATTTCTTATTATTTTGATGATTCCAGAGCCTTGCAGTACACACCAATACTTTATGCTAGATGATCAACTTTTCTGATCGATTGCACAACGTTTCTTTCACAATGCAATCGCATGACCAGGGAGGTGTTTCACAAAGATCCTAAGTCAAACTTATCTCTAAGTTGGACTTAAAAGTTATGGAAAGCCATTAGCATCCTTGAAAATATTTTGTAAAAGTTATTTTAAAAGGCATAAAGTGTTGATTCAAATCATTCGTATTTTCTATTATCATGGGAGATTTCATGTTCTTGACGTGGAATTTATGGAAAGTCTAAAATACTTGATTTTTCGTTTTTGAATACATTTTATTTCAAGACTACAAATGGCTCTCCATAACTTTTAAGTTCAACTTAGAGTTAAGTTCGGCTTAGAATCTTTGTGAAACACCCCCCTGAACTCAACTTTATCTTTAAAGAACAGCCCTCTAGAGGGCCTTGTATGAGGAAAGTCATTTACATGTTTGTTCTGTTTCCATTGCAGGCTTCTCCCCCATGAGGGCCGTCTTGCACTGATAGACCTCATTCAGACGACCGTTCCTTCTCAGAGTGTGAACAGACCCCATGAAGATTGACTCTTCTCATGGTAGCGCCGGGTTCACAGGCCAGAATTTCCAGCCGCATCAATTCTCCCGATAGAAACATGCATACCGGTATACAAACGACGCAATTTTTGGGTGGCTTAAACATATCCTGGGGGGTGTTTAATAAAGATCCTAAGTCGAACTTGACTCTAAGTTGGACTTAAACATTATGTAGAGCCATTTGTAGCCTTTCAAAAAAATATATTCAAAAGCGAAAATTCAAGTATTTTAGACATATTATAAATTCCACGTCAAGAATATGAAATCTCCTTGATAATAGAAAAGTACAATGTGGGACATACAGTTCAATTTAATTGGGTTATATGCCTAGATTAGGGTCCACTTTACTGCTGTAAAGAATTGTGCAATGAATGATTCTGCCTAAGCTCCTAGACTCATACATTCCTTAGAGAAAATATAATGTACATTACAATTCAACCAAGTACATGTAGTGGCATATGTTTAGGTAGAATTATAAATAGAAATTCAACTACTGATTTGATATTTTAAGCTTATTACTTGTAAAGTATTTTAATTGTTGTGAACAGCATTTATGCTATGTTCAACACTTGGATCCAAGTTGCCAATTTTTTTTTCCCTCCCTCATACTCCTATATTTTATGTGATTCATAGCATTGTTTGAAGTAACATTGTGCTGTTAACAAGTTTATATCAAGTTTGTAAAGATAAAATGTTACTTTCCGTTTCAAAATGTACTTACCGGTAAGCATGTACACTGCAGTATATCATCACAAATTGTATAAAAACGTAAGACAGTTGTTTTTTTTACAAGATGTTTAGTTGAATGATTTCAATACTTAATTGAAGATGCCAAGGCCTTGTGTTTAAGCCGGGCGTGCTGCTAATGTTCTATGAAAAGGCATTCGTCTACATCTTCCTTCCTCAACCCAGGTGTAGTAAACATGCATAGCTGCTAATCAACCCATTTTGGAGGAATAATTCCTGTTTTTTGGCCTTCAAGCTAATGTTTTGAACCCTTGATTCCTATCTTTTTCTGAAATATTCTGTGTGCAAGGTATACAAAATAGACTGTATTCCTACTTTTGCCATGAGAGATTCCTAATATTTGCTGTGAAAGATTGGCAGGTATGAACATGGTTTAAAGGAATTCCTCAAAGGCTTTGGGCACCTAGTGGTTGCCTGGCTCAATAAGCCACTTTGTTGATACAATCTGCGCATGGGCAGATGAAGGTCATTATGATACCGACCCAGACGAATACTGAATAGGCCTGCCTTCATCAGCTCGAGTTTGCCAAATAACCCGCTAATTTAACTACCGGTATCCTGATTGCAAGTAAGCCAGTTAATTTGCGTCTTCATCAGCCAGCAGTTGCAATCAGCAGGATATTTGGTCGAGAAAATATCCAGAGAAATGTTGGTCTTATTTCCAAAATATGCCGCCATTTGGGAAATAGCAGGCTAATGTGCGCCCATCCGAGCTAGTTTTGTGTTGAGCGTATTGGTCTGGTGAGGACGCAACTTCGAGCTTCGGGATAATGTCCCGAGTCTGAGAATAGCGGGTTATTTGGCTAACTCGAGCTGATGAAGACATGCCTAATATGCGCTCATGAAAGTTATGTAATTACTATTCTGTTATTTAGCACATTCTCTGATACACAGGTGGAAGAATTATTCTCAAAAGGGCAAACACAGACCTTCAAGAAGCACCTACATCACAGTAGCAGTGATTTTTTTTTATTGAATTCACACAAAGTGGGACGTCTCCATGTTTATAATTATAATAATAATAATAATAATATTTCGCTTTTATGTAGCTCCAATACATTGATACGACAATGTGTCTAAGCACTTTACAGATATATCATATTATTAAAACTATATTTTATATTATATTATATAGTATTATTATAACTAAAAGATCTGTGGATATTTTAGGGGTCTATTTAGAGTAAAATTGGAGAACACAAAATGCCTTCAATTATTTCTGTGAGCACTATACCAGAAGCCAGGGGATGTATTCTGCAAACCATTTTATTTTTTATATTAGTGAAATTGATGATATCAAACTGAAATTGTGCCTAATTTACACTAATCTTTGGTACTTGCAGTTGCACAGATGCCTCTGTTAATTCTTGAGAACGCTGCCAGCTTTGCACGGCCATTAATCATTGATTTATCCTGATTTGTTTCCTTTTATTTTACTATCAAAAAAGATAACATCATTTTCAGAATACCACCCCAGTAGTATCACTATTATGATAATTACATGGTACATTGTAGGTTATGTACATGTAAACCACAAGACTATGTAGTAAAAGAAGAGGAGATGAAAAGCCCAATTGTCATAATTATGTTAAGTCTTTCAACTTGTAATTTGTGAGAATCAAAATAGAAATTTATATAAATGTTTTAACATAATTATTTGATATATTTCCAGAGTATGGTGTTCATTTCTAAAATGGTAGTGTGCATTTTTAAAACATGATATATACGTATATATATTTTTTTTAATATTGTGGGAAATGCCTTTTTTAAATCAGTACTTTTAACTAATACATGTTATTCATAAGTTTTATATGTATAGAAAATAAACATAAGATGGTGAAATGAATAAAGATATTTTGTCAAACTGCAAAACTGAATTGGGCATCAGTGCTGGTTTTGTTCATTGTAGTGTTTGAGTTTGAGTTTATTAGCAACAACAATAAGAACAAGTAAAACATAATGTATCAATCATGATTACATAAAATATAACAACATAAGATAAATAACAATCCACATGAATAAGATAAATATTTTTTTACGAAGTATGTTATACAAATGAAGTCGAAGATTGTGTGTACAATTTTTTTGGTATGAGTCGATCTATGTACAAAGTGCAGCGGGGCTTCTCTTTTGTCAGTACACCTTCAGCATGTCACAATGGTAGGCTACATATTTTTTCCCTCTACTTGCCTATTTCTGCACAACATAGGCAAGCATGCGTGAAAAGTATCATTGGCTTTGTAAATGCAATCGCGTTGTCAGATCAGGTTTGATTTATATAGTTTGGATGGTATGAATTTAGACGCCATCTTTATTTGCACAAATCACCAGAACATTGTCGAATAGTTCTTATTCAGGTGAAGTTTAAACATCAAAGGACAGCCAATCGAGGAGGTGAACTTTCTTTCGGACTTCAAAATACGAAGGTGAGAACAGGAACTTAGATGTGTAGGAAATGAACTGGGTCGTTTTAGACAATATCAATGTCGTAAACACGGAAGTGAAAGAAATATTGATGAAACAGTTATGAAACGAGTATAAAACGAGTGTGATACGATGATGACATGAGAATGAAGCAAGAGTAAGAACTAGTATGGATCTAGAAGGATAAATGGAAAAAACAAAGAGCCGGGGCACGTTATATATATAACATCATTAGAGAGAGAAATGAAGAAAACTAAATTAATTTTGATAATGTGAATGTGAATCTCTCTCTCTCTCTCTCAGTATCTACCTTTCCCACAAACTTTTCTTTTCTGTCTGTCCCGATTTATGAAGCCCCGTGCGGTCTTCATTCTCCACGCTTTTCCCATTTTTCTAACCCCCATCCCCCTCTTTCTCTCTCTATATATTATAGCTCTTTATAGCGTACACTAAATTATTGCGGAGTGCCAGGATTGTCAAGTCTGACATACATAAGCTCTACAGATAATTATTATTATTATTTTTACATTTAGTAGCAGTAGTAGTAGTATTTTCATAATTATTTTTTTTTTTACTTCTGCTGTGTTCTATACAGGTCAATATTCTGATCAGTATGGCGGCTAATTTCAGATCTGCAGAAGACATCTGTGAAGGAGATAACTGTCAGTCAATCACAGATGTGACGTACTACGTGAAGGAGAAGAAGAAGCTCTGCGAGGACTGCGCCTCCACAGGGGGATGCATCGGAAAAGCAAGAAAGGGTGGGCCCAATTTATATTGTGCGAAGCATGATAAAGATATTGATTTGTATTGTAAAACACATAATGAAGCACTGTGTTATTCGTGCGCAATTATAGATCATCAGCAGCCTTGCGTGCAACAGGATATAGAACACGCGGTCATTGAAAATAGAGCAAAACTAAGCATTCTGAAAGAAAAGGCAACGGACCAACTAAAGGTTTGTCGAGTTTATGGAGATCAGATTCGCCAGTGTAGGAAAGACACCGACACCCATCTACAAGCTTTGAAGGATTACGTTGATTCGGTAATCAATGAGGCTTTTAAAAAAGAGGAAGACGGGAAAAAGAGGGATGCTGCAAAAATCAACCAGGAGTTTGACGAAAAGAATAACAAACTTCAAGAGGAGATTCAAAAGATCAATGAGGAGATTCGAAAGAACGATGAGGAGAGAGAAAAACTACTTGAACTAAACTGTACAAATGCAGAGAAAAGACGAGAACCCATCGACAACAAACAGCATGGTCTTCAAACAGACCTTCAAAACATCGCTGAAGAGAAAGAGAAAAAGATTGGTGAGTTGGAGAAATCATGGCAAAATGACACGAACATCAGGGAGACTATAATACAGAAAATTGACACAGTAATCGAAGATGATAAAAATGTCGTCAAAGATGGACATCGTGTGAAGACAACAGTGAGTGATGAACTAAAGAAGCCACTGTCACTGAATGGGGGTGAGGTAAAACAAATCACTTGTACATTATCGGGTGTTAAGTTTTCGAAGGGTGCTGGTGCTGGGAGAGAGAAGTATGATGGGAGGATTGATGGGTATGATGGAGAGTGGAAGCTCATTGATATAATCAATGTCAACGATGGAATCACATTCCCAACCATTGTAGGATACATGGATGAATGCAATGTGATCATCACAGATGGACTGGGAGGCCTACATACATACGTGTTAGATATGAACACTAAACACACTCAGAGAGTAATAACCAGTAGTGATACATCAAGTGTTGTCGCCTGTGCATTGCTGAATGATGACAAGGTAGTATGCGGTAAATACAGTAAAGTGTTTACACGGGACAGTTTCACTGGATACATCAGTGTGTATGACAGACAATGGAAGCACATCAATAACGTTACAATACCACGAAACACAACGTATGTTGAAACAGGGGTAGATGTAGCTGTTGACCAGGATGGGATGATCATAGCTGCTGAGGGGCTTCAGTCTAATATATACGTCATCAACCCAGCTGATGGTAAAATCATGAATACCATCACATGTAAACAGAAGATAAGGATGAATGGTGTGCTATCATCAGGTCACATCATCGCTCGACCCTCACCAGCAGATCAACGAGTGTTCATCATCGACAGGCAGGGTGGTCAAAGGGAAATCCCCCACAGTGATGTAATCCTGAATGCCTGCGTCGATCCTATGACAGACGACCTCTACGTCGTGACATCAGATGATGAGGAGATGACTTGTGTGATTGATCAGGTGATGAGTGGGGGTGAAATGAAGAAGAGAAGAGTAGCATCATTCCCTCTACCAACTATAACGTTGGACCCTTTATCATCCCGCGTGATGATGACGTCATCAGGGAAACTGATTGCTAACGATGGAGACAATATTCTCGTATTCAAAAAGCTATTGTGCCTATAAAGGCCGGCCCGTTCACAATTGGCTCGGTGAACCGGTTTGTATTTGATTTATTCGTTTTTAGATTTTGTGTGTGTGCGTGTGTGTGTGTGTGTTTATCTGTTTAATTATTATTTTTTTAATTTTGTTTAAGACGTTAATAAATAATGCGCTGCTCATGTATGTATCTTAATAAAACAGAGCTAAGTAAGAACTTTGTTGCGCGCAGTTGCCATTCACTTACACAATTAAAAAAAAATTGCCGCGTACAAGTCATGAACGAATTCGTGTTGTTTCTGAAAGGATGGAAGGAACCAAATACAGTAACATTTATCGCTTGAGTCAGTTCCATGCATGATCAGATAAAAATGACAAGTTTGTGATGTAATTTAACATGCTATTCATTGATATGTACGGCCTGTTATGACAAAGCCAATGCTCTAACAATGACACAAATTGCACGTAATTGATTGTTAGTTTGTTTGTATTAACCTTTGTTTTTGTAATATATCAAAGATTGTAAATAGCCACATCATACTTAGTATTTTAAGACTGATTTTTATTGATTGTTAGTGTTGCTAAGAAACATATAAGTCATGTAGGGCATGTTATGACAAAACAAATGATAAAATAATGACATGAATTGCACATGATTGTTTGTTTATGTTAGCTTCTGGTGTGTTTTTCTTTTTGGTAATCTATAATGAAAATAGCTACTTTATACTTAGCATTGGTAAGTGTGAACGTTGATGTTTCGTGTTACTAAGAAACTTGATACTAAGTATGTAGGAACTAAAACATTGATAATTAAATGCACGTATTTGGCCTATGTTTGTTTGTTTGTTTGTTTGTTTTTTCTTTAATCTGTCGTAATTTGTAAATAGCTACATACTTTTCTGTAGGACCTATGTTGACAAAACAAATGCTATAACAACGACATGAATTGCACGATATTGTTTTATTTGTTTGTTTGTTTTAGTTTGGGTTTTATACAGTGCGTCCCAGAAAAAACGAAACCGAGAATTATCGATGTTTTATCATAACTTAATCACAATTATAATTAATAAATTACACATAATTATTTGTAAAGCTTAGATCCTCCTCTTTCGTTTGATGCAACTCATATGATGCATATTTCACGCATGAGTAGTTAAACAAAATTGAAGAGACGGTACCAAAAAGTTATTTGGCGGGCGGTATAATGAATTCTTAAGAGAAAATCACATTTCTAGAAAGTTCATTTCCTGCCCTTTCATATGACACCTCAATTAGGAAAAATGAGCCAGGCTGTCTGCTGTAACAGCAAAGAAGACGACTTCATGCAAGGCTGATCGTCCACGAAACGGAGTTTTGTTATTTGCAGGCAGCCAGTCAAAATGAATTCGTTTAATAAAATTATGGAAATGCAGGAATGTGAGAACTTGTTTTTTTCTTCACATAAAATTCATCCCAAAATCAAGAAGCTATTTATATAACCGTTAAATAATGGTGCTTTCTGCTATCACTGCTAAACATATCAAGGTGTTTCACATGCATCCGTGAAAAATATAGATAAAGTCATATGTCGTATTCTACCGGATACATTGCACTGAATTACCCAATGCATGTAAATTGTCTACCTTTTCTCACAATATTTTTTAAAGGAGTCGGGGGAAGAAAAAACTAATTCTCTCGCATCCGTTCAAATGGTTTGAAATTTCTTTCCGAATATTCTGTAAAGAAGTTTATATTTTAATAACTCTCCCACTGTAATGTATTATCATGATACTGTGATTCAATATCATTTTTTCATTTTTGTATTAACAATGAAGGATATAAGTCTTTTTTCTGCAATAAAACTATGCTGGTTTCCAGGACGCTAATTTACGATTCAGATATTCGTGATCTTATTTGTGTTTTTGTCAATATTCATACCGAAATCACAAATTATGCGACAAAGAAGTAAAATAATACGATAGGGAATAAATAGAGGTGAGAAAGAGAGAGAGAGAGAGAGAGAGAGAGAGATTTAGAATGAAATAAAACGTGAATCAAAGAGAAAGAGAATGGTATTTAGATAAATAAATGTAAACAGAGAAACAGAGAAAGAAAGAAAGAGGATAGAGAGAAAGGGAGGAAAAGAAGATGGTGAAAGAAGAGAGAGGGGACAAAGTTAAGAAGAAAATGAGAGAAAGAAGAGAAGATGAGATAAGAAAAAGAAAGAGGAAAGGGGATTAGGAAAGAGAGAACGAAAAAAGAGGGAAGAGGAGAGAGAGAGAGAGATGGGAGAGTACAAGAGAGATTTGGAGAAACATTTTTGGAGAGAGGGGGAGATGAAGAGAGAGAGAGGGGGGAAGAGAAAGGGTAAAATGAAAGAAAGTGAGAGGGGAAAGAGATAATGAGGGGAAGAGAGAGAGAGAGAGAGAGAGAGAGAGAGATAGAGAGGAAGAGAATAGGGGGTACCAAACAAATTACTGAAGTTATTTTGAGAGATTTTTGTATTCTTGCATATTAATCTACGAAGTGTACGAGAGAGGTGTCAGCAGTGGCGGATCCAGGGGGGGGGGGGCCGGCCCCCCCCCCCCCTTTAGAAGAAAAAAATCATGTAAAATCACGTGATTTTTACGATTTTTGGGGGTTGGGCCCCCCCTGGCGCTCAAGGGGGGGGGGTGCAAATTGAATTTTTTTTTTGAGGATCAAAAAAAAAAAATGTGCTATTAGGCTATTATTATTATTATTATTATTATTACTTCACCTCGTACGTCGCATTATCAAGAAAATGGCTGCTCCCATGTCACGTTTAAAGGCATTACGCCAGGAATATCTTCATTTATATATCTCTTGTACACTTTCGTAAGGAATGTTGTACATCAAACGGTAGGGATATACAGCAGAATTATACCTACCCTTATTCTCTGGATTAGGTTTCTTGAAACGCCTGGATTATCATAATTGTTGGCTTAAAGAAAATCCTCACACCAAGTTACTTTTATTGTAAAGTTTAAATGATTTGAATACAATCAGCGAAATTTGAACAAAGTTGGGTAAGGAATAATGAAGTTAATGCGTTCTAATATAACTTCTCACTAGATCGAGGCCGATAATTGCTTTGGTGACAAGCATTTATGAAAACAAATCTAAGCAATATTTGTCCATTTGTACTTCATATTTCCTGTTTTTTCTTTTTTTTCTTGTGATTGAGATAATTTACTCCCCTGAAAACAAGACATAGTATGAAGAATGATATTTTACTTGACATCTTATGTATAGTCGGATCATGACCACAAAACGAATCCAAAGAACATGAAAGAAATACAATTTCAAGGTAAAGATTGAGGCATGAAAAGTTTTCATTATGATGTCATCAAATTAGATACCGCCCTCTACTGACAAGTTATTTCAAAAAGTTTGACTTCCTTATTCCTTGCCTGATTTTGATCGACTATTCACTTACTTTATTCCAAACTTGTAAAAATTTACGATAGAAACCCGCCCCCCCCCCACTCAGTGTTATTTAGGGTACGCATATGCTCGTACCCTCTTTTTGAAAGCACCCCCTATCTGAGGACTGCCAACATTTCCAAACCCCCCTTTCGCGGGCTTTTCGCGGGCTTTTCCTGCCTTGGAGACCCCCCTAAATCAGGAAAAATGCTCAATGTACCCCCCTAAATTCGGAATAATTTCTCAGGAGTCCAAAGAGATGAGAGAAAAAAAGAAAAACACCTCCTTTTTAAAGAAATCTCCGGATGAAAAGTCAAATACACCCCTTTTTTTACAATTCTCGGGCCGGACTTTGTCGCACGAAAAATACCCCTTTACCGGACATTTTGGCAACACGCATGCGGTCATTCCGACCTCTGAGTGGGGGGCCGGGGATAGAAATAACTGAGTATGAAGGTTTTAGTTCCCTTTAAGCCTGTCCGCACTAGTTTGGCCAGGAGGGATTAGACCTCCCAGCATGGTCAGTTGGTCACTGAGAGAGAGGTGGTTATCTCGGGTTATCTCATCAAAGGCAGCTCTCAATTCTTAATCCCCAAAAAGGGATCATAGGGGACCAACGGGTACCGCTTAGTCATTGTTTGATATATAGAGGGCGCCAGTAGCTACAAGTGGTGCAGTTCCGCTTAAGTCAGGGTACATGACATTGTTTGGGTTTATTGCCATTTGGTCTAAAACCGGTTCGTCTAGTGCCCAATTAAGGTATTTTCTACTTCTACGCCTCTCACCTATTTCGTCCTTCCTCCTCTTACCTCTCTCCCGATAGCCATGCAACTTTCATATATGCTTGTGAAAAGGTTCCCTGACATGTACTTCATGATAATTTTATTCTTACATGCATCATATGCTCATCAACATTATAGCCACTGAAAGAAATGCACGGTACACGTATACATAAATAGTGACTATACCTTAAAACAAATATCTAAATTCTCATCTCTTCTGTAACATAAACGCATTTGAACATTATATATGGAAAAATGTGCTATATAATACATTATTATTATTGCTATATAAATATTACAATTAAAAGATTAGTCCACACTGATAACAAGTTCAATTTAAAACCAGAAAAATTAGACTGATAAGCAATAGCTTGAGGAGATCCATGAAAGGGTGAGAAAATTAATTTTTCACTCTTTCCATTTCTCTCTCCCCCAATTTCTTTACTTTAAACAAAAAATGATAAGTAGGTGGTGTCAAGAACAAGACAAATCACACAAAGGGTTTTTGGTTATTTGGTGTCCCATCTTTTACAGTGTGTTATGGTTTTATGAACATAAATAGATATGAAATCGTAAAGTTTAACTTGACAATTGGTTTGGTCCAAACTGATAAGGTCCGCCAAGTTTAACAACCAACCATCAACCATCAGATATACTAAATCTTAATTGTTGTCGGTAATTGTACATGACAAAGGAGGATTTGCCCAATTTATCTCCCTCTTTCTCTCCTCTTCTCTCTATCTCTCTCTATATCTGTCTCTGTCTCTCTCTGTCTGTCTCTCTCTCTCTCTCTCTCTTATTTTCTATCTCTCAATATCTTTAATTTTTCTTTTACAATATTTTATAATTCACAAAGCGCCACACACAGTTTGAACTATAC